GTAATCTGTCTGAAAAATAAAGCTAACTTCACCAAATTTATCACATACACCCGCACCCACGGCAGGCATTTGTTACATTAACAAAAATGTTGGGAGAGGATAGCAACTGAAATTCCGACGACGACAGGTGGTCCGGGTATGCAACACACATAGACAATGAAACTGATGGCTGGGAAGGCGTCTTCACAGGTGTCAACTGGAGGAGGGAAAGAGAGGAGAGATAAGAAACAGGCTTTGGAATAAAGTGGTGTTCCTTGTGGTTTACTGTTGTGGATTAAATTTCAAATATTGCACAATTTCAGACCCACATTGGATGCACCCTGTACTGAGAGCTGTGCCTCAGGACGGATAGTGGAAACAAGTGGATTGACACCTAGGTGGGTGGGGAACCGCTCCACCTCCCTCGTATGCGTTTTTGTGATTGTGTGAAGGAAGGCATGCATTAAGTTGCTAGGGCGTCGTAGAAGTCATACACTCCAATTCCTCGACAGAACTAAGTGGAGACCCGATTGGCAATGACCAACCGTGAGACAATTGCGAAGTGGAAAAAGCAACAACGCAAGTGAATTAATGGAGATCTGTCTGGTTCAAGTGATTGCAACATACGTTAAGGTCACTACAATCATTTCTAGTGTTGACATCAACCCGAAGTCCATTAGTGCTCCATAGGCAATTACAAAACAAACTGATCAAAATTTAGTCTACAAATCTATAATGACAGCCCAGACAGGTGAAATTAAATTCCCCTCCCACATCCAACATTCATAAGTTCTCAAATCATACCAAAGAGGAAACAAAAGGCTTTAATTACAACCTCTTTAAAAAACAAATTTTTGGAGCATACTCAATCGCCTTTCGATTCACTGACGTAGTGACGAGAAGGCGAAACCCGCTTCGGTTGACAAGTGAGGCAAATCTAATGGGTGTGCAACTGTACATTAGAAATGCGCATTTTCATCGCATGATCGAGTTTTTATGGACACAGTAGCTTCGACAGAACATGTGGAAGGAAGAAAAAGAAAAGGTGAACTGGAAATGCAGACAGGAAGTTGCACCGGACACCTAAAGCGTTCGCGGTGCAGTAACTTGTCGAATGCTTCACATTTCATGGCTTGTCAAACAGTGATTAAAAGGCGTCCATACCTCAGTTCGACTTTCTTTCCTTACATGACCTCCACCGGTGGCCTGACATTTAGAAGCCCCACTCACCCTATCCAATGCCGTGAACTTGGTTGGTGTGGTTCCACCTTGTCTACTTTGCTAATCCGTCTTAAGGCAGTCCCAAGGCTGCAAAAACACCTCAAGTGAAAGCATATCATCTAAAGGTGCATTACAGATTAAAAGTATAAAACCAATAAACACTGATAATGAGTTGGAAGATAGTCAAAGTGATGATGCCAAAGGCGATCAATGGTTTGAAGTAATTCGAGAGAACGGGACAATCTAGTAACACTTGATGGGAGTAGAGAAATAGGGCTGTTAGAGGTGTATCGGTGGGGGGAGGAAAAGTGATGAAATCGCGGACGCTTTGTCTTAACCTGAATGTTAGCCATTGTGATACTCTTTACCACCTCCACGCACAGTGAGTGCCTTTTTGTCTGGCTAGTGATGATAAACAATGCCTGCAGTTACAATTCTTCCCTTGTTGATGGCTAAACAACACGCACAGGTGTGATACCGACAACCTAAAAACAACTGAAGGTGGACAATAAATCGCCTTTTTGAGGAACAACGAAGATTGATCCATCAGCTGGAGGAAAATCTCACGCAAACGCTTATTCCGGTGAGGCAAGACAAGCCTCAAGGAGAGAATGGAGTTTAGATTAAATAGTGGACTTCGGGGCTCCATTTGAAGAATACTTTACTCTTCCACTGTTAGAAATTAGACGCTTATTTGAGAGCAGACGCGGCGAAATAGAAAACGGGTCATTAAGTGAGAAGGGAAGTAACGTAGAGGGAAGCTTAGGCTTCTGGCTCATACAGATGATACCTCATATAGGGGTGGAATTGTCATTTGCGTATGCCGAAGTGAGAATTAAAAACGAAAGAATACTACACATTAAGCTATAAAAACCTCCTTTTAGCATTAATGGTGAAAATGTGAAGATTCCTCAAGGCGGAATGACAGCTCTCGATGTTTAGCAATACAACGCAATGCTGAGGTGAAGACAGCTAGCAAAGCTTCTTCCACCCAAAAGGTGATTGTGTTAGATCCGGCTATGCTCTGTTAAGACAAAACAGTGATCGAGGAGGGTAAAAGTAATTCTCAATCAAATTCTGCTGGATACGTTGGAATGCATTGTGATAGGGGTGAAAATGTTCGCGAAGCCTTCAAAGAACATCGCCACGAAGAAATGTTTCTATTTAGAACATGAATAAAAACTACCCTGAGAAGGATAAAAGTATTTTGAGGCGAATTTCAAAAAAGATCACACTTATTTAAACACAGATCACCCTGTAGCATCCACTGAAGCCTTTCAAGTGCAATATTTATCCGATTCACATAATGTGTTGAAATGAAAACAGAAAATTTGGGGAAAAGAACTCACCTGCAGTATGAAAATGCCCCCAACGCCGCTGGCTACTAGTTTTATGAACACCGAAAAGCAGTGGATGAATGCCGAAGGGGAATGTTCGGAAGGCTCCTTCCGCTGCCGCCTCCATCGATTTCAACCACACAGGATTCTGACTTCCTTTCTTTGCGAAAACCGAGTTCGATTGGCGTCTACCCATCTCCCTCTCTCCCATCGGTTGCCATGACGATGCCGAAGCACCGATAAAGAAGTCAGCAGGTACGGTGGTCTTCTTCCAAAGACGGTTTAGATCTCGTGGCTGATAACTACTCCCACTCTGATAAGACTGTGTGAGGTCCTGAGGCTTCATATGAATTAAATTATCCACGAGTTTCGATTGTTTTCTTCTAAAGGCACCATTCGCCGCGCCTAGAAAAGATGGTCCAAGGGGTATAACAAAAAAGAGTAATATTACCCATAGCTTTCTTGTTAGCATTAGTGCAGCTGCCGTCCAGTGCAGGATAATCATAGAGCTTCAACCAGGGAGGTTCTTCCCTAACCTCTATGGGTAGTCCACCTACCAGCTGTAGATTTCCACCAAGTGGACTGTGAGCATCACAACAAACACAGCTTTGGGTTCGTGAGCATGGATGCGTACCAATGTTCCACCCTTTCGCACAAAAGACAACAAATAATTTTTACTTAAATAAAATCAGTAGGCAGAAAGACAATTACCATGTGTTGAGAAGGTACTGTCGAAACTGCCGATTTCCGAAGTGCTTAGACCATCTTCCATAGGTCTCGATATTAAGAGTAGCTCTTCATTAAGAGAAATTGTCCGCTGACGACAGCTCTCAGGAGTGGTTGTGGAAACGAGAGAGGTTATTGTCTTACTACGCTGGTGTTGACGCTCACGAGGACTTCTTGCAGGCTCAAAATTACTTCGCAGAATGTTGTGATCCTGTTCCCCTTCCCCTTCCTTTCCCAAATTCTTCCAATGATTGCAGGGGTAACTACCACAATTGGAAGATTCAATATTACTACCACATTTCTCAGACGAAGGTTGACAACCGCTTGCCATTTTATCGTAAATACAACTTCTTACGAAATTGAACGTACCCTGATGACCCAAGTTTTCGCGCTTTCACCTACATTTTAAAGCGCAAAGTGTGAAGTAAGTATGGACAGCGAAAGGTACTGATTATAATCTGGTTAAAACGGATCTTGGTGTTTTTTTGAATAGGGTGATATTAGCCAACTCAAAAAACTTACGTTTATACGAATTACGGTTTCGGAGTTCTTCAGAGCATAGATTTCTCTTGATGAGCGAAAAAAGCTGTGATTCATCCAATGTGGTACGATGTACACCTCAGGATTGTCTGGATTTTCGAAGTCTCGGCACTAAGAAAAGTCAAGACACGACCTTGAATGCAAAGCGATTTTACCGTATTATAGGAAAATTATTTACCACAAACAGAGGAACGGCATGAAGAGGTTGGGGACCCAAACAGACCAAATGGACCATTGTTCCTACAAAAAAACAATGTTTCACGAACCGGACCTACCTAGATCAAGCACCCGTTGTTTGGTGAATGAGACCATATCGCAGTTAGTGTCGAAGACACCAAAACCTGGAGATATCACAATGCAAGCGTTGCCAGTTCGATCAAAACTTCGATCAACATTGTAACACTCGTAGCCTACAACCACGGTGAAAAAGGAAATCAACTAACCGGAGAGGGCCAAGTTGAGTCCCTCTAAAATATTTGCCTCTCTGGCAGTTGATAGCCGAATAGATACGTGTTTTGGATCAATTACACCGGGCAGATTTCTAAAGACATAATCTTTTATCTCCTGCTCGTAGCCTTTAAAGGCTAACATGAGCTGGGAAAAATTCCTTTTCCATTCTTCATTAGAATACCGTTCATTGTGAACAATAACCCTGTTTTTAAAAATAAGAACCTTGAGTACCATGAACGTTGACAAACTGTGCACATTGATAGGTGCTGAACATTACTTGTAAAAGTCCACATACACCTGGCCATCAGGACTTCTGGAAAATGAGCTTTCCTCTGGAATTTCAACAACTTTAGGAGATCGTTAAATACACAGTAAAGGTTCTTACAAGGGGCATCGACAAATACACGAGTTGAAAGAACTAAAGTGACGTCATGAGTACAAGACATATTCTGAGATAGCAATGAGTTACAGAAAGGAGAACATACCGTCCAGGATTGTAAGATAAGTTCACGCAAAAACTTAACGCCCTTCTCAAAAAATAAATCACCAAATTCATCGAAGTACCACATTTCCCGGCTCATTTGAATGAATATGTGGAAAACAGCAGAAGACGAGCGATAAAAAACCTAAATTTATTTCTGCACAAGAGACAAAAAAGTAGCTACTTTGGTTCGCTCAGATACATATCCGCAAGTACTAGCTTCGCCTTTTCGCCACAATTCGCTTATGTAACCTCTGCAAGATCAGCATACAAAAAGGCCTAACCTCATAACGCCGAATTCAAGCATTGTGTTTAGGTGAACAATTGAATCAGTCTAGCTATAACAATAAAAGTGGACTAAGCTACCATATTATTTGCGAACTCCATTAAATCGCGTCGACTATAATATTGGTCACGGAAACTGATTTCAACGGAATCCAACAAAACGTCCTAACAAAATCACTCAATTTGGAATAGCTCACTTCTTTGAAAACCACCTTTACGGAAACAGTTTTGTAGGGGTGCAATTTAATCGAGTGTGCCAAAGACTGTTCAATGCTTATGGCATCTAGGAAGGGTATGAATACCTAAATTGAGAAAAACCTTTGTGTTGACAGTCTTCTCGAAGTGATCTAACAAGAAAGAGTGTGGGAGTTGGGTGATCGGGATGCTTTAACTCAATTACATCCCCAGGGAGAATACCATGATTATCCCGAGAGTCCAAAAGAACGTCATCTAGGCATCAAATAATCTCAGTAATGTTACCGGAAACGCGTGATTTCGTATCAACTCGAGGATGACACAATAGCTTTAGCTTTACTTCAGATTTAGCCATAAAGTGATACCATGAACCAAGCCCCAGTGCTCAAGGCAAGGTCAACACCTTAAAGGCCACCCAATTAACCATTCAGATTGCTGAATGCAATGAAGAGGAATAAGAGCTAAAACCATTTTTATCGTTAAAGTTAATATTTAATAAAAATCTAACAGGCAAAATATGTTAACAACAATAAAAGTGACTTTGAGTTTAGTTTATCATCTGGTTTGGCGCGCACGTTGGTTTTCGTGGCACCACGTTTCCGTTCCCACGATGGGTTTTGGTGATCTTAATCGGTCGGAAGGTTTGGAATGTCTCAATGGATTTCTGCTTACCAGGAGTTACATTGAAGGGTTAGTTACTGCCATATTTGAGGCTGATTTTATGGACTTTAGGTTTCAGCCGTCAAAAGCAGACGCCGTCGTTTTCGATGCACTTGCGGAAGCTCCTGATGCTAAGTATGTAAATGCTCTTCGTTGGTACAACCACGTTAAGTCCTTTGGGGAACAGCGCGAAAGTTTGCCAGGAGAAGCTAAAAGTGTGAATTCTTACGGTCCTTTCGGTAGGTGACGAGCCCAACTTCCTGGTGCTGATATTAATTATTGGGTTTTGCGGTAACATGTAGTGATTTTTTTAGAGGCATCTGCTCATGAGCCAAAAGAAGGGCAGGATGATGATGATGAAGACCTTTTCGGATCTGATGATGACGAGGAGGTAGAAAGGCGTCATGCTGCATGCATTGCTGCCTATAATGCAAAAAAAGCCTCTAAAGGTGATAAACCAGTTGCCAAATCTATGATCATTCTGGATGTGAAACCTTGGGATGACGAGACCGATATGTGTGCTCTTGAAGCTGCCGTACGTAGCATCGAGGCTGATGGACTCCTTTGGGGCACATCTAAATTGGTTCCACTTGTACAAAATGTCAAGAAACTTCAAATCACTTGTGTCGTTGAGGATGATAAGGTTGGTCTTTACCTTTTTGTGGATCTTGAGCTGCTTTGGTAATTGCATAGCTATTTTTTGTGTTTTCATAGGTCGGAACTGATTTTCTTGAGGAGGAGATCTCGAAGTTTGAAGAATATGTTCAATCTGTTGATATAGCAGCCTTTAATAAACTGTAATGAATTCAAAATACAGCCTCGAGTAGGTTTTCTCAGGTGTTACGCTTTGTGTTTTCTTTTTTATTCACCTTGTTCATCGCATTTCTATGAGTCCCTCGTGAAATGCGTCCTATATGTGGTGGTGAATTGAAGCTTGGGAGTTAGCTACACTAAACCCTTTTGCTCACTTATAACGCGGTCACCTGCTTTTGGGTTGGTGTTGCATTCATGTCCTGCACTTATGGCATCTATCTATTTTCTCTATGATAGTCCTTGCCACCTGAGTTGTTTGCATCACTTCATGTGCACCAACGGGCATTTGATCGTGATTTGCTTCCTGTCTGAATAACCCATTGTTGTCATCTGAATGACTTTCATACATTAAATTAATGTGAACGAGTAGGTTCTCTCCTCGTTACGGTTCTTAAGGGTAAACGTACGCCTTCGGACTGTACTTCACTACGAGGACGGACATTGTCGTGTTTGTTTGATTTAAGGAGTGGCTGAGGTTATCCACGCTTGACTGGAGTTGCCATCTTCAAAATTTGACTTTATTATGGGAACTCGCTTCGTGTCATTCATGGTTCTGGATAAGTTTTTTAGGACCTTTGCATTCAGACTCGGTTTTGAGTTTCCTTGCGCAAGTCGACTCACTGAAGTCCATCTCATTCCTGTTAAGGACTGGCTGAAGCAAATTGTACCACGTTGTACCACCTTACAAACCTTCACTTGACGATACCCATATTCTCCTTATGATGAGACAGCTTTCTGTCTAGTTCGTTCCGCATAGATTCATGAAACTGGTGAACACGACACAAACCACCCAATCACACTCAAACGGATGGGATGAGATAAAGGCTGAGACTGGAGATTTACAGCTGGCGTTTTCATTTTGCATGCATGTTAAATGTTAAAATAGTTGCGCAAATCAACCACTGCTGCGTTCTAAACGGTGTCATAACGAAGATGGACAAAAGGTGCCGCTGTATTGTATTGTCAGTAAAAGTTGTAGTCTGGAATTTTCAAATATCCTGGATATAATAGAATGAAATTAGCAGAACAGGAGGGAGCATTAGATTAAGGTAGCCAAGTAAAATCGGAAGCAAAGGAAGGGCAAAAGAGGAAGCAAAAGCTGTTGGCCGTGATTGTTGCGTTGGTGTGACTGCTGTCGCTGGAGGTGAGAGCTAATTGGTCAGAGCGGATTGTCCAGCTCTTTCACGCATCTTATCAAGTAGTGGGAGGAGCATATCGAAGCGCGGTCGCTTTCCTGGATCTTCATTCATGCAGAGGTCTAACAAACGCACCATGCGCACATCCATACTTGCCAAGCGCGGCAGTCGCAGACTCTCTGTTGCCACCTAGAATTTTTTGTTACATTAGCGTCCGTCTGTCATGTGTACTATGAGAAAAGTCCACGCTTGAATCAAACCTGAGTTTGAAAACATTTGTCAGCCTTCTATGATGGCGTAGTATTTCCGTAGTAGATTAGTAAGTGGAAAACGTGTCCCACTACTCCCAATAGCTTAAACACATCCACATGCATCGGTTCAATACAGCACTCAATTATATTTCACCTTAATCCAGTCCAGTCTAGTTCGGGTAACTCATTTGTACAGTACAGTACAAACATGAAACAGTATCATACGATCCGGTACAGCATGGACAGTGCATTACACTGAAGCGACCATTAGCAGCCGTGATAGGGCGTTTGTGCGGACCGCATCCCTGTACTGACCTAGACCGTGGTATCGTCTCTAACTCAGTCCACAGCTAAGGCCATTCCTTGAACTAGGGAGACTATAGTCAACGAATTACCTTCACTTTCTCGATGAAATTTGAAAGAAGCATCACCGATTTGTCGCTGACCTCTTCACTTCCTTTGTTTATGCTTTTGCACGTGTACTAACATGGGCTCCATCAACCCGTATTGGTTCAACCTCGAAGCACTAACGCCGTCTCCTCATACAGGCCCCCTATTTTCAATATCACTAATGTCACCCACTAAATGCCACGCAGATGTCGCCGTTGCCATGCTAGAGTCGTGCAAGATCCAAACGCCATTTACATTTGTGCACCAAAACAGCAGGTGTGAGTTGGGATTTGCTGCAGCATGCACAAAAGCTCGCAGTTACTGTATTTTATTGCACAGTTAAGCATTACTGAAGGCAAAGTTTAGCTTCAATGAAAGACAGTGAGTTCAATAACCCAAATAAAAGGAGGCGATAAGATAGGAAAGATGAGGAATCATATTTTCAGGCATAAAGATGCATCAAGTTAATAATTTGATGAATGATCGCAGTAAAAGGACCTCAGATAGGAAAAATTTCAATCACTCCACGAGAATAATAGGCTAGCCTCGATCTCGCTGTTAGTGCGAACAACGTGTCTGGTTGCATCTCTCCATTCAGTTAGCGCTTAGACCTATCTAGGCTGCCTAAGGAAACCGTGCTTTGAAATGCCGAAACAACTTCCATCCATAAGCTAGAACGGCTTACGAGAGTAACTACTTGCCAAACAGTCATGATGCCTACCTTGAGGGACGTAAACCTCCCGCCTAGTCCAAGTAAAAACATAGTGAAGCAATTCTATGACGGGCAAAAGTGCAAAACACTAACCTGCATCCCGATGACCATGGGATCGAGTCCCTCAAACGGCTCCATACGAGTAATCAGCTCCCACAAGATCACGCCAAAACTCCACATATCCGAGGCCTGCAGGTTAATGTCCTGTGGCTTCTTCTGAAGGGCTACAATATCATCATGGGTGAGAAAAGTATTTACTATTTGACATGCACCATTTTTATCCACATGCATACCTTCAGGCGACATCCAAGCGGGGTTGTACTCTCTAAACTTCTCATGAAATGAGAATTTGTAGTCGGCCATGTCAAGACGTGCGGTCAACATCTCTTCCTCGGGCATGTCCTCGTCCACGGGGTTGCCGATTTTGGCCACATCTTCGTCCACCTAACAGGGCAAATCGGAGGTCTTGGAGTAGTCTGTAAAAATATTTTTATTTTAGGTTCCCTCCCAATTTGGTGCTTCTTTTGAATCGCCAAAAGTTGGGTCACCGAACTAATGACAAATCCGATCCCAGAATCATATGCCTCGCAATACCGGCATGGATGGTTAAATCGCCACATTGATGATTGCATAGTACACCCAGACACCACAGGAGAAACACCAATGGAAAAACTAGCGCGGCCACACAAAACCTGACCAAGTGAACCAAGTTTTTGACTCCCAGAAGATCCAGGAGCACAATAAAGCAGTTCTAGACAAATCAAAATCAGAGTATTAACAGTAAAATAGGCGCATATGAGAGACCTAGGAAAAATCGAAGGATTGCATGCATCAAAAGTGAACGAAGAGTGAGGCTTTCCAGTAGAAGTACAAGACGAAAGCGGATTCCTATTAGCCAGTAAAAAGTGTACAAAATGCACTTTATTATTGTTGGAACAACTAACTCCCAAGATTGATGTTAGGAAAGCACAGAAGCCGCTACGAAAGCCAAATGTATGCAGGCATAAAACACAATAATAGTACACACTAATATTGCGGATTCGCCTCCAACTCCAAGGCATAAAGCATACGACCTGACACATTGGGCCACTTGTGTAAACACATCAGAGAGGTGTCTTCAATTGGTCACAATCACACGCAGAGATGAAAAATATTCTGACATTCCTGACTTCAGCGACTAGTAAAGCAGAGTGGAAAAAAGACTCTTCTTCTGTGGTCATTCACCGGTGCCAACGATGCACATACAATGCGTAAATGTGGTTTGACGATGATTGGTGAATGCCTTTGCACAGTTTCTACACACCAGCCTGAGGCAGAAATGATGCCCGGACTCAATTATTTTCACTGATAGACAAACTCGTAATTCGCTCCAAATCCTGCTCCAATTAGCGTTGACTTACAAGAACGTGTCGCGAGTTGAGTCTAAAGTTGGGGACTTTAAGTTCAGGTGAGTGAAGGAACTCCATGGCCTTGGCAATGTCCAAGGCGAAACGAAGAGCCTGGCGCAGAGTGATGGCCGGTGGTGTGTGTGGATGACCATTCTCACCTAAGTGCTGTTGCTGCTGATTTGATTGAGGCAATGGATGTAGAAGGCTGTAGAGCGAACCAAAGGGCATAAATTCACTGATAAGACAGAGACGCGGTGTGGCGTTGAAAATTGCTAGCACGGGCAGGATGTTGGGGTGGTTGAAAATGCGTAGCCGCGGAAATTCCTCCTTGAAGTCACGCGCCTATTGATAATAAGAAATCATCAGTAACACAGCAGATCGGGTGAACGAATGCAACACACGCGTGTTGTTTTGGTGAATTTCAAACGTAAAAACTGGCTAAAAAACAGAGGAATGGTACTCAGTTAGTGATCCATCCAAAGTGCACGAAAAGGCCAGTAAGAAAATCGCAAGTGTGTTCTGCAAGGCGATGCGGGTTGCAACATTTTGAACAGGAAAAATCATCGGCTCTAAAGTCCTGTAGCGGTTCGGTTCATGAACTAGACTATTTATACACAAAGACTAGGTAGACAATTCATACTTTCCCTTCTGCTTAAAATAATTTCCCCAAAACACTTACTTGTCTATCAGTGTAGTGTCTCAATTTCAGCATCTTCACGACAACTTCCTTATTGCGAAAGAAGCCACGCAGAACCTCTGCTCCATGGCCATCCGCAAGCGCACCAGAAAGTTCAACATCCCGTGGGTCCCAGGCATCTCCGTCCAGCTTATAGACAGTCGCATCCCTCGCTCGCGTCTTCGTTCCGATCCAGCTCTGATCTCGGAAGGGTCGCCGACGCGTCAGATCGGCCCCATAGCTCTGTGCCATAGGCGCTAGCATCGCTGCTGCACGCGGACGCGCAATCTCAAGTGGTGTATATCCATACTTGTTCTCTTGCATTAGACTTGCTCCAAACTTTATTAACAACTGTAAAACAAATCTCAGTGAGGAAACATGTATTCGAAAAGTACATTTAACTCCGAAAGCTATATTACTGTTCACGCCTACAATCTACTAATCCGCCTGCTGGAGCGGATGCCGAACCCAAACATCAAGGGAAAGTATTATCCGCGGGAGACCAGTTCACAACAATAGTCTACACACCATGCAATATTCGTTAGGCCGAACCATTGGTTGGAGAGTTGGAGCGAGAAGGCGTTCAAAAGAAACCTACTTAGTTAAAAATATTTACTTAAGGGTAAATTCAATTGCAAAGGATCTCAATCCTTGTCAACTTCTGCCATTCGGTTCATGTGTGACGGGCTAGGGAGGTAATGAGAAAGAGTTATAACACAGTCAAATCAGCACCAACAATCTTCAACTTGACATACAAAGAAGAAGGACCCGTCATATCAAATAGCTGATTACGGTCGCACATCTACCCGTAAAAATACGTGCTTTCGTGCTTTCATACCTGCACCAGTCCACTACACTCCACACGACTAAACCTCGATACAGCCCATTCCAGGCACTCCTTAGCACTAATGATCACCAAAAAATAATTTCAGTGACTGTGTTCACGTAATAGCCAAAGTATCCAAACGAGAACCAAAATATTTGGCTCCGATATTCGCGCGGCTTCAGTACCCATAAAGCTGCAAGCCCAAAAACGTAGATTAAAAATGAAAAAAGATCCTTTAGGATAATGTAAGCGTTGACAAATTTTCATGCACTTACACTCGTTATTGGAATTTTTTCGCCTTTAAACGGGCTCTTATTATTTGAAAGGGCTCAAAATTTCTGATTTCCTTTTGGGGCTTACTTCAGCAATTTCATGATGATTCCAGAAGCAGGCATAGTGCAATGGAGTGTTTCCGTGTTCATTTGATGCGTCGACAGCGAGACGGAAATTGTTGAGAAGGAAGTATACGACGTCGTAGTGACCATGCGCAGCTGCCAGATGGAGGGCTGTGTCGTCTCCCAAATTCGTGGCATTAACGCGGGCCCCACGGGAGATAAGTAGCTCCACAATTGCCCGACGACCCTCTCGCGCTGCCCAGTGGAGCAAAGAGAAGCGGTGTTCATCCCCCTGATTCACGTCATTCTCGCTCATGTCAAGCCACAGGCGTGTCTCTGCCAAATTTCCCTCTCGTACATGTCCTATGATAGCCTCCATCTCTAAAAAGAAAGTATGGGATCAAACTTCTCACAGTGTAGCACAGGTTTACTGGCCCTCAGCTAATCATCTAGCTAACTCATACGTCCCAGAGTGGTCAACTTGCTTGACTGAGTGACCAACAAAAGCACTAGTTTACCTGTTCAGATTGCGTAAATAAATTGGGGAGGAGATTGTCTATTTACCATGTCAACAACTTACTCGCTTCGATAGGTTATTGCTAATACCAATCCTTGCAGGCCTACGGACCCAAGTGATCGATCGAGTAATTGGCCTAAAGATAGCACTATTGCCTTATCGGTTAGACACCATCAAATAGCCGATAAGGCCAGAGAGTAAGTATTGCTTTGCTTTCTATGCATACGAAAACATAGAATGGAAAGCATGCAAAGTTACAATCAACATACAATTCATGGTCATGAAAGTGGCAATGAGTGCTGCTCAAACGCCATGAATACCTGGCCATTGGCGAAACAACTGATTGAACTTCAACAAAAGAAAGCATGGCACCAAGCAAGAAGAAGGAAGTGTTGGAATGCGCACAAAATGCAGTTACAGAAGTATTTATTTTATCGTTTTTTGTAAAAACAAGGATTGATTGTGATGTTCGGCAGACTGGATACAGGGAGATTCGATATATTCTTTACTTTGGCCAGTCTGCCATTTGCAAAATAGGTATCCTTTGTTATCTCCCACTGCTTTATTTCGAAGCCGAATGGCCTAAGAAGCCTGAGAAACTTCTTAAACGGTAAGTCGAAGCGACTAGCAACTTCCACTATTAAGAGTGTTCCACTAAAGCAAGTAACAATTGCAATGATGGTAACAAACCCCATTTTTAGCAGTCGGTTCGCCTCAAATAAAAAGTCCCTGCAGTTTGTCCCCATTAGTGAGAGACAAAAGAGAACAACATCCACCGAAGAGTGGGCCAGAGGTGTCTTAATAAAAGGATAAGAGGAATGAAGCGAAAACTGAGCCGAGAAGTAAACACTGAATTCGTAATTATCACTTACATGTGCCATGTCACAGGCAGTAACCCTTTCATTCACAGATACCAAATCAAAAGAATGTACAGTAGCTACATTTTCCAGGCGTAATGCAAGCCGAGCGTCCCCACAGCCCATGTCCGCGACAACTGGTTTGTTCCCAATATCATTCCTGATAATTGTTTCGGCCCACGTTAAAGGATCGTATGGCCATTTTCGCAGTTGATTTTGAAAGCCATCGTGGTACAAGTTGAAAGCAGAAGGGTCCTCTGAAAAGTATCGCAAGGCGTCTCCGCTCGAAAATTTGTACAGTTTTTCATTAAGAAATCGGAACCTGAAAAATAAGCAGATTAGCCAAGGTTACATAGAAGCCCGGATTTGCGAAGTCAATATATCCTCGTTCGCCTTCCGCCTTCTAACATCCGTCAGAGCGACCTCAACCTTCTTTTTTATCTTTAATTTCTCCTTCTTGGGTGATGCCTTTTTCTTTGACAATCTAGATTCTCTAAGAGCGATTCTTAAACCCCTCAAGTAGGAAGAATCCATGGGCAGAAGCGTTTCGAAAGACGCGGCATGCCTTCAGAGAGAGTAGAACATGCATACAATCTTCGGATAGATTTGTTTGGCATCTATAAAAAAATATCAAAGTATCCTAAATTGTGCCCAATATTAATCATTTATACAAAAGTTGTTAATAATTTTGGTCCACACATGATGTTTCAAATTTCCAAGATTTCGTCGTCATAAGGATAAGATATTATGCTTCAATAAAATATGTACGTTCGATCACTAAAAGAGATAAGTAGAAAGATTGCTGCATAATCATAAAGCCTGTTTGCTTGGCTATGACAATATGACTATGTAACTGTCTAATCGAATTATCTTAATGCCTTGTTTATTCGACCACTCGTTCAAGCGGCGGTCACTTTGGCATCGTTTTCCTTCCACTAAATGTGTTGGGTTTTCGCCACTTCTGGTGCTTATTGGCAGATGGAAAGTCTCGTGTCGCTACAGTAATTCAGAAGAATTTCAGACTTTTATCAGAATTCGGTTATAAAACATACAGTGTCGTGATTCATCTTCCCTTTTCACTATTTACAGCACGACTTCCTGGGGCTTCCTATTGGGCGTTTTTCAGGCATAGTGCCTAGGCAGAGTGCCATTTTCGACCCGAATGAAATGATGTGGGCCTTCGGTATGGTTTAAAGGCCAGTTTACCCAAGAAAAGCGATATGCCCCTCATTGTGGTCGCCATTAACCCAGGCGGCCGAAAAAACAGCGCATTGCATAGCCTCCTCTTCCTATACTACCTGGGTTATGTGATCACCTGATTCTGACTATCACTTTGGCATTTGTGTGGCTCTTGTAGGCGTGGGCTGGCCATCGGGCCAAGTCCAGATCTTATCCCTTCTTCCCCTGGGATAAGCGCTTTCAGTCCAACTTAATGCTTTATGTTCCCTTCTAGCAAATCTGTCTCTCCACTCAGCAGGTGGTTAGTGATTATAAATTGACACTCGATCTCTACGTCTCCAAACCCTTCTGGTAGCTTCAAATGGACCAGGAATTTCGTTTGGCTTGAAAATATGTATCGGCGAGTGGGGCGCTCGTCAACACCATTTGTGTGCAAGGCTTGCCGTTAAAACACCGGTGTTCATTAAATTGATAAAAAGGATATGACAATTCATTTGTAAATGTTTGAGATAATGAGCATCTGTAATGTTATTTCGGACGCCCACAGGTAGGTGTAATGGAAAAGTCTAAGCGAAATTCTTAGATGGTTCACAATAGGTGTCGATTTCGCCCATAGTAGCTTCCCTGTGAACAGTATAAGTGGGGTAAATGTTGGGAGTAGGCGTCGTTTTCTACCCTTATGCTTGGAGAAATAGGAGATTTCGCATCAGGCGTATATGCCAGGTTTGTTCCTGGCACTGGAGATCAGAACATAAACAAATTCAAAGTCGGGTTCATGTTCCGTTACTTTCTATCCAGTTAGTAGATAGCATTGTACTTGGACGACTGCATATGATCAGACAGAGAGGTAATGAATTATTTACCTTTACCTGGACCGAAGGCCAGTCAATATGGGCGCCTAGGTGACCGCTCCTCAGGTATAATTATCAGCACCTTTCTTACGCAGTAGCAGATTTCACTTTACGGTCATGTTCGACAACACAAAAAGCTCAATTTCTTGGTCTTGACGTCAGTCCTGCCATCCACTCTTATCATCCAAACCCTCTGCATATTAATTGACTGGACTATACTAGAACATCACATAATAATAGAAGTACCAAATAACTAAACTTTGTAGAATTAAACACAACTTTATTGGCTGTACAATGTGTTTATTGTTGATTTTACATAGATGCACTAGTCGCTACTTTTTTCTTCGACATATCGTAGAAACCGCTCAACTTTTAAACTACTCTGTACGTTAGGAGCGTCTATTCCTCTGCTTCACTAGCTTTTAACTTCTTTAAGTGGATTCAGTGCATTCTGCACAATCATATTAGTCATTTTTTTAATTTGCATCAAAGTTCGACGTTACCGCTACTACTAAATAAAATTTTATGCAAAACGCTTCCTTTCTCCGTCTAGATTTTGGTGATTTTTTAGACGGTGTTCATCTCATTAGCTTCCGGTTGCAGCGACAGCAGCACATGAAACTTTTGCTACTGCTTATTTTAAAGTAGTAAATGTTCTGAACGTCGGTTATTTAAAAGGTTTGTGGGTGTTTGCATTTTTAGCTATCATGGCAACACTAAAAGGCCTTTATCCCATTTGCTCCGGAGGTTTATGAGTCAATAATTTAGCAAAGATGGGCATGCCATATAGGATTTTAAGTGGCGCCAAGACACCCATACCATGTCTTAAGCTCATAACTTCCCGTTTCTACCATTATTGTTTCATGTTCTGTTATTACCCCATCAATGCCTTCGACTGTAGCGTCAGCGCTATCTTATGCACATGTCAATTCATTTAATGCTTCTTCCTCTGTCTGACTAAAAGTAAACTTACTCGCCTAATCTTATCATAAGTATAACCTAAGTAAATACGTTTCGTATTTTTAGAGTTAAATTTCTGGTCATTTGTTTCGCAGTTGCGTAGTTACGAATGTTTGCCTACCACTTGATCGAATGGAGTTGGCGAGTTGTGCGACACACCTATTCTGTTTCGCATAGCATGGCACTCTTACCTTGTTCATTTGGTTTAAAATGCGTTTTCCTTCATGGAATTGCATCTTTTTCCTTCCACCAACCATTTAACCCTCCGTTCTGATTTCGAGGTTCCTTAGACCTTTTGATAATTTTTGCACACAGGTTGCTGTTTGTAACTGGCTTCTTCATGTAACCTCAGTTAAGGTCGTAAATTTTTTAAAGTGCAAACGTTGGTACTTACTTGACGCCTTGCTGCTCGGTGGCAGGCAGAATAGGTCCCTTTGAACACCGGAGTACAAAGTATGATTAAAAGCTTAATACGAAATAGTGATACAGCTTTTTGATTCCATAAATTGGCAGTTTCCTTGTCTTTGCTAAGGCAACTGTGGTGAAAATGTGAGTGGAAGGGAAGGGTGCTGATGCCACTCTCCCAATGGAATTGTCCCGTTCCCTCTGCTACGCTACTCGTTGAACGTGAGGTTGCCATTTACACGTCTTACATTGCGTTATGGGTGATTAACCAAAGCGCAGCCTCGAACCCTGTATCAAATGGTTTGATTTTGTGGAAGACTTTGACATCTTCACATAATTTCACATTGCTTGTTCTGTGGGATGAAGAACAAAGCAGTGGGATAATAAATGCATCCTTGATTGGACTTAGAGGATTTAAGCACAAGCAATAAATTTGGGATGCTAAGTAACAGGGCTGTTAAGATTAAATTATTTCCTAGTGGAAGCCTATGCTACTGAAATGGCTTCAGCGTATATCCAATATTGGGAACGCGCTTATCACTGGCACGAGTCTTAATCGTCTTCTTTTGTTTATTGGGTAGGCAATAAAAACAGTTGGAATTATTAATATTATAGAATGGCAATATTTATGCTACTTGATGACCATTTATCTTTGCTATCGAAACGTTTTCCTGGAGAGTGGCTTCAGAACCAATTTTGGCCAGTTTTGGTGTGAATCACGGAGCAATTCCTTTGGGTTTACGCCAATTAGCAGTGGGAAAAAATGCTGTCGAAACTAATTAACAAAAGTAGCTAAACTTTTATGCCAGTCATCAATGAGCACAACAAAGCTTGAAAGGCGATCCACGTGCGTCCGTCGTTGCTTTGGGTGTGCCTACCAAAAAAGCGCTGCGCAACATGGATCATTCGCTGACTGAATGATGGAGTTGGGATGCGACTACTTCGCTTTATCATCATTTCATTAATCCAACACACATCCTATCGGTTTATCGCATGGCGATCAATTTGCAAGTCTGAACCCCTTCTTTCCCTAAACTAGACTTTACTGCTTATGTGGCCCAATTGGGTTGTTTGGGTCCCTTTTGAAAGCTCATTCACCACATCAGAGTCGCAGATTGCGATAAAATTTCAAACCGTCTGACCACTGCATCAGCCTACGTAACCTTTGTAATGAGCTAGTGTTTGGTCAACGACAATCATTTAATTCTATAAAAAAATTTCACACCCAATAGAGAAGATCAGAAAAGAATGCCCAGGTCTCTTAATCGTGTCGATTCTCCCCTCCCTCCCTCCCCCCTTCTCTGTCCGTTTCCCCGCTTGCTCCCCTCTACCGCCTTCGGGTTCTCAAGGTTACTTGAGCGTGGTCACGCACATAGCAGGCTTTGTGTCTCATACCCTTTGGACTGAGTCATCGCATCCGCGACCGGGGCTGCGTCACCATCATTCTCGGGTAAACACTTGGACCCCGGGTGAGACAGTCACCATGGTGGCGATGACTCAGCCACCCCAGGTCCCCCTGCCCCGCCAGACGCACTAACTTCGACCGAGCTTTAGCCAGGCCGATTTGACTAGCTGGACACATCGTGAGTACAGGGCTAGCAGCATCATACCATTCTTTTACCAGCGTCAGTTAGCATTTAAAAATCGGAGTTTTACGTTTTGGCAAATCTACCTCTTTACATCAACGCATCCCACGCCAAATAAAGTTTCACTCTTTGCAGAGGTATTAATGTAATCTCCTCCTCTTTAAAAGCTAGCCCTTAATCACATTCTATCGGTAGGGTGTGACAAGCGAAGCATTTGTTGCGTGTGTGAATGGAGGGTGGGATTGTGTGTGAGTCCTGATTGATTGCAGCAAAAGACATAGCACATTAATCAAATCTCCTCTGTCCAACTCTCCTGGTACAAATAAATAAGCTGCACTGCTGTCCGTGTTCACTCCACTGCTCGACAGGAAGGTTAAATGAGCCTCCTCGTCACCTAATTAACTTTTATTCTGCTTGTCAACCTTTTCTCTCACCGCATTCAGTTAATTTATGCCCTCACATGCACTCGAGGTTTGTGGCACTAAAATGAAATGCAGATGAGAGCTCAAATTGTCATGGCGCAGGAGTGCGTCTTTGGGGTGAAGTGGATCCA